TTTAACATGCAGAGTTCAAAGGTCAGATTAAACACGTGGAGTTCAAAGGTCAGATTAAACTATGAGGTCAAAGGTCAGATTAAACACGTAGAGTTCAAAGGTCAGATTAAACATGCAGAGTTCAAAGGTCAGATTAAACATGCAGAGTCCAAAGGTCAGATTAAAAATCCATGTGTTAAAGAGCCGCTCAGATGTCAAACATTCTTTGTTGTTTCAGTTTTTACAGAAAGAACAAAGTCAAATACATTCATGTCATCAAAGTTTGAAGATGTTTATTCAGAGCTCTATCACTAATCCTCAGCACCACTGAGGGACAGATTACACCTAAAATATATTGTTTCTTTAAAATCCATTCCCTGTTATCATAGTAACATCAGGAGGCCACAATCTGGTTCATCAGACTCCATTACCCATAATCCTCTGTGACGCATGAGTCAGGAAACAATATAATTAACAATCATTTAATAATAGTAACTGAACACAACTACTGTAGATAAGGGTGGGGGTGGGGGTCTAGTTCTGGYTGTGGAGGGCAGGTTTTACCTGGTTCTCTGCTCCAACACACCTGACTCAGTGATTCACCTCTTCAGGTTCTGCAGAAGCCCGTTAATCCCTCATTCCAGTCAACTGTGTTGGAGCAGAGAAACCTCTGAACATGCAGGATGGTGGCCCTCAAAGACCAGGTCAGGACATCGCTCATCTATCATAACTGAAGTAATTGGACACTTAGAAAGGGGCGGAGCAATGGTAGTGTCCAGAAACCAATCAGAGCAGCTCGTACTGCCGCAGRTGCATGCGTTGGATGATGTCACGACAGTCGTTGAAGACACGGCGGATGTTCTCTGTGTCCACGGCGCAGGTGAAGTGAGGATAGCAGTAATGTTTACCGTCACCACTCGCCGTGCTGATCCTCTGAAACATGTTAACATGTTAGTTTCAACACGCATGGTTACACAAGTCAGCTTTAACAAGTGTGTTTGAAAACTTCAGGTTACACAAGTCAGGTTTAATGTGTCAGCTTAACTGTGGTAGTTTAATAATTTTCATTTTAACACATTAGATTTAACATGTTTACCTTCAACATGTTTCATTTCAGCATGTTAGGTTTAGTAAGTAAGTAAAGTTTTATTTATGTAGCGCCTTTCACAGAAATAAATTCACAAGGTGCTGTACATTCAGGGAAGGGGAGGGGCAGTTAAGACAGGTCATGCAGTAAAACACAGTTGTGCTACCTTTAGACAAACAGAACAACAGAAAAACTAAAAACCACACAAGGGAAAATGAGGAAAAAAGCAGAAACATCATATTATATCAACACTGTGACACACTGTGGTGTTTATGAAAAAACCTCTGCATAGGGCAGATTTATTAGCCAGAGGAGAAATTGAGATTAGGGGGCCTGAAGAATCCATTCCCATGGCCAGCGCAGCCAAAGTTCAGAATGTTGATTGTAAATTGTTCATTCTGTGGGCTCTCAGCTTTCTCAGGAATCAGATCATACAGAGGAGGGAGGAGACGGGAGGGGGTAGAGCCGTTTCGACATGTTCCAGCCAGGAAGGATTTAATCAACAGATCCAAGGCCATTGCTGGGGAGATCCAGATTCTGTAATCAGTTGTTTTGGGAACAGAAAGGACAGGCAGACGATAAACRATTTTCCCTCTGCCTTAATGTCTGCTGGTGCATCTCAAGGTGGTGAATCCAATCAGGCAAAATGGTGTGGACACATAACGCCAAGCCGATGCATCAGCTTTCTTCAAGATGAATTCCATCTGGCCAGCAAAGTCCAGGGACCACAGCCGGCTCGCGACTCTCAGTAGAACTGCTTGCATACAAAGTCCAGCTCACTCAAGGCACAATGTCTGAGTGCGGATAGAATACGGCCGTCCATCCAGTTGGTCAGTAAGCCAGTAAGTGCAAAGCCAGACACTGTTTTGTAGAACACCAGGAGACCACCAAGCCAAACTGTAGAATCCAGTGATCAGAGTCCAGATATATATATCCAGAACAGAGAAGAATAGAGGTCCCACCTTTGACATGTCCTCCCATGGAAGCAGAAAAATAAACTTTGTTCCAAAAATTTTATTGAGAGACCAGCTAACCAAGTCCATAAAAATAAAAATATCCATAATTTCTAGTTTCGGATGAAAAATGTAGAGAAGKCTCCAGCAGCAAAGCAGGGAAAGATAAAGAAGGGCAGGAGAGATGGAAGAAGCGTCTTACTCCTCCGAGAGCAGAACAATAAAAAAAAATTAGTATATTCACCGGCCACTATTAGGTTCACCTTACTAGTACCAGGTTGGACCCTCTTTTACCTTCAGAACTGCATTAATCCTTCATGGCATAGATTCAACAAGGTACTGGAAACATTCTTCAGAGAGTCTGGTCCATGTTGACATGATGGCATCACACAGTTGATGCAGATTTGTTGGCTGCATATCCATGATATGAATCTTCGGTTCCACCACATCCCAAAGATGCTCTATTGGATTGAGATCTGGTGACTGTGGAGCCATTCCAGACCAGGGAATTCATTGTTGTGTTCAAGAAACCAGTSTGAGATGATTCATGCTTTATGACATGGAGAATTATCCTGCTGGAAGTAGCCATCAGAAGATGGTACACTGTGGTCATAAAGGGATGGACATGGTCACAAGATGGTACACTGTGGTCATAAAGGGATGGACATGGTCAGAAGATGGTACACTGTGGTCATAAAGGGATGGACATGGTCACAAGATGGTACACTGTGGTCATAACGGGATGGACATGGTCAGAGGAATATTACAG